GAGAAGGGGGTGAAAGACGAGGATGGATGAAGATGAAGGAAGCGCAAGATGAAACGGTCAGATAGAAGCCTGAGTGCCACGTGCGAATCGCGGCGGGCAGGTCTTTTCGCCGGAACTGCGACCGCGATCAGCCACGTTTCATCAGCCGCAGAGAATGAACTCGGCTACCATGCGCATCCGACGGAAGCGGGAGGGCGGGTTCTTTTTTCGGCAGGCGAGTACCCGAATACTTTGGATGAAGGTGGATTGATGTTCATCGAATATCGGAGTACCGTTCATTATTGTATTATGGAAGTATCGCCGGGGGGAGGGGGGGGGAGGGAAGTTCATTGAACTCCATCGTTCGCTCTCGCAGAGAGATCGCCACTTATATAACATATCTGTAATCGCCAATTGTCATTCGACGATTCGATAAGACTCATTCGAATATAATATTGCGGATAATAGATGCAAATTCTGTTATCAATTTGTAGTAGATTTTTCCTGTCTGTCACAGTTTCCGAATTACAATCGATCGAGAATTTAAAGATCGTCGGGAATTAAGTCTGGAATTAGATTATCGGCCCTTTCCATCTTCGTGGAGATAAATCTTTCGGCGCACCTTTGAAACCTATTACCAGTGGATTTTCTCCCCCCGTGCCCTCGAAAATCCTTCGACGATACTTATACACGCTTACGGGTCTACAATAATTTACTTCTAATGAGACATTACGCATAAAAGTACACAGAACAGTATTTCCCTAAATTTGTTCCATTCTTGTTTATTAGACTTTCTAAATGTCGGCTCTCTTCCTCTTTCTCTTTCTCTCTCTGTCTCTCGCAATTGATCGTGACATCAGGAAACGAGCTCGGCTCGCAGTAGGACGATAAATTTTTTTGGATAAAAAGAACGGCGCAAGATCGCCCGGCGGAGAGCCACCAGCATTCGCCTTCGACTACGATCAACGGACGCTCGTGGAAGGAAGAGACCGTTACTCTCAATGGACCAATGGCCTCTGTGTGTTTCTCGCCTTTCCATTAAGCGTGCGCTCTCGCGATCGCATCGCGTCCCGGCCGTTTTCCTATTCATAGAATAAATTTCGACGAAACGCGCGCGAGAGACGAAAATCTATCCGACTTCAGAGTCGTTACTGGTAGAAATCCGACTCGACGATTGACCCCCCGCGGAAATATTGAAAGGGTATCGAAACGCGCCGCTTGGAAACAGCCAGACCGGAGAATGTTTCTCCATCCGTTGAATTCTCGCGAGTCGCACGACTTTATCGAATTTCAGCCAAGTGCAAGTCGATATTCTCAAAGGGTGAGCGAAACTTCTTCATTTCGACGGTCATGATCGGATTACGACTTCTTAAGCATGGAAATTAGCTTGAAGTAAAGTGGCGAGAACGAAATCAAAGAGCGTCGTCGTTAGTCTTTCCTAAGTGGCTTGGAATTTCAACGAAAAGTTTTTCCCGATTTCTTCTTTCCCTCTATTTTTCTTAAGATCCCACTTATCGATATTTCGATATGGTAAATTCGATGAGTTATATGTACTTTTCGAAAATTAAGAAGAGTAATATTTAATATGGTTTTTTAAAAACTTAAAATTACAGATATTCACTGAAATTCTCACTTTTCTCTCTCTCTTTCTCTTTCTTTGGTTTGTACGAAAAATGAAGTTAAAAGTCTGAAACAGGAATTTAAATCAATGCGAAGTAAGGTACCGGGTCAGCAAGAAGGACGCTTAATTAATTCCAGCGGTACGTTCCCCGCATGTTTCATCGGAAGTCGTCGTCGGTCGGGAGGGCCACCGAGATAGAATATGTAATACGACGATAGAGCATGGCGTATCTTCGGCCCTTTATGCGGAGTTTTGACCCTCGTCGCTAGCATCAAAGCATCTTTTCGCTCCGAGCCTTGTCCTCCCTCTGTCGGCTCGTTCAAATATTCTGAGCTAATTCCGTTTACTTGTATATTAATAACCGGCCCCGCTATCGGTCGGAAGGGCGCGTACTTATCGTGTCCGGGATATTAATGCCGGAGAGAGGTGATTAAAATGACGGAAGGGCATCCGCAAAGTGTGTCGCGATCGTTTTTCCTTCGTGCGATTAAAATGTAAGTGATCCTTTGATCCCCGCGCTTAATTAAGAATTACAAAAAAAGTCTGAATGTCTCGACGTCTAAATGACGGATGCATTTGTTTAAAATGTATTCTGGAACGTTGGAAATAATTTCGCACTCCATTCCTCGCTCGTCACCGCGCGTGCGAACGTTGCCTTCCTGTTTGCTGATATGGCGAGTTCGGATAATGCGCGGCGCGCGGCTAATTGAACCCGGATCTCTCCTCGGGAAAATTATTCATCCACGGAAATAAATTTCCCGTCACGTATACATGATCGAAGGTAATGGCGTGTGCGTGAGAGAGGCGCGCTAATCCCTACCCGAGAAAACTGATTAGGGTGAGAGTCGTGAGAACATTCTCGTTTTTATCAATCTTGCTTTCGGGCGACGCGGACTTCCTTCGCGGAGGATCGGCTCTCTCTCGGGGAAACGGATCAGCCCGGGACTAGCCTAAGAGGATTCCCCACTTTAGTTCGCGCGTGTACGTTGATGCATTCTTCGTGCAGCGAGGAGGACAACCACGTGAATTCCTCGACCGGGAAATCGAACATCGTCTCTCTCGTCATCTACGACCGTCGGGCAATGGACAAATCTTGTCGTCCGTCCAATCGATCGATCGATCTGCGGAACGTGCGAGACGTGGAATTCCGAAAGCGGAAGACTTGTCACGAGATTGAATCGAGGAAGATCGCCGATAAGCGGAATTCGGGAATGTTTGAAAAATCGATTTGGAACCACGGCTCGTATTATTAACGCACGTTTTAACGCTAAACGGTCGTCCACAACGCTTGTGAGTTTTATTTGCCCGATGTGAGGAAGACGACAAAGTGTCAATAGGCGACGAGAATCGTATACGAATGCTAACACTTAGCGCCGAGAATACGAACCTTTGGGCTTTGGGTGGGACTTTAAAGGCTCGTAGGTGTAACTAATATCGCGGCCGTTTTTACGAGGAGCACGTGCGCTCGAGAGAGTCCGCGGAAGAGAGAGGACAGAGAGTTTAGGAACGTTAGTGAGAGGGAGACAGACAGAGAGGGGAAAGAGAACGCGTATTTGGACGTAGCACTTCCGACAGGCGAGATAGAATGGGAGGTGCAAAGTGAACTCGAGTGGTTCACGGAGGACGAAGTGCGCAGCCAGAGCGTTCTTTTTCGGGTCATTCCCGAGAAAAAAAAGATCAGACTCCCGTGCGTGGTCCGCCGGCGTAGCCATCCCTCTTCGGTCCGTTTCCCGTCCGGCGGGGGAGAGGAGAGGGGAAAGGTGCGTCGAACGTTTAGCACCCAGAAAAATCAACAGCAGCCTCAAAGAACCTTTTCAAACAGAGTGTTACGCTGGCGACACGCGATTAGCGCTGCGACACTAACGATCGACGTTGCGAGAGATAGGAGAGAAAAAAAAGGAGGACGAGCACGCGTATCGTCGTACTCGATCGCTTCACGATCGAGGGCAAAAGAAGAGAAGATTTGTGACGATTGAACAAATACAAATAAAGAAGTAAAAAGTTTATGCCGAGAAACTTCTGAGATATTGGAGACACAGGCGAACAGTTATTAAATTCCATTTAAAAAGAAAGAGAGAGAAATTGCCTTTTTCGCTCAACAATAATATTCTATACAAGTATTATTAAAGTATCGAGTAAAGATTTGCATAGAGTAGATAATGAGATAGAAAAAAAAACAGAGGGGAAAGTATGATGGGTATGTAATGAAAATTACAATAAGTTTCGAGATGTCCGACGGGTCGCCAGAAAAATCATAGCCGCCAGTTTATCGTCATGATCGAGCCGAAGCCTCGAACGCGAGATATCCGGCCGACACCCACGTAGGGTCACGGAGGAGGATGTCCCCCGTGTGCGCGAAACTGCATTCTCTTGGTGCCTACGATGTTTAAATAAACACCGCGTCTGTCCCTCCTTCTCCCGCCCGTCTTTTCGGCCGGCACCTCTGCCGTGCCGGCGCGGCCGTATCACTAATTTGTCCGTTCAAACAAAAAGCAATTTGTTACCCGGTCGGACTGACTCACGGACTGAGAGCGCGGTGCATACGGTCCCGACCGTGGTGCGCGAGGGAGGCCGGGGGGAGGAGGCGGATGGTGCTGGAGGAGAGAATCGGCAGAGGAAGAGAACGAGGTGGAAGAAGAGGAGAAACGGAGAGAGGTGGAGGCTGATTTAAACCTGTCTGGCGGCCCGCTGCGCGCTTAACAACTGAAAAACAAACATGGCGCCGAGAGAGCGCATCGGCCAGCGGGAGCCCACGTATGTGCCGCGTGCGTACCGAGACTATAAAGTGCTTCTGGTACCCGCCGGAACCCGGACAGTCGAGTTCCAAAAGATTTCTCCTCTCCACTCCGCGAGGGGAGAATAAAAAAAATACAGAGAGAAGAAAATGTCGGGAAGTCCTGGAATTTTTTTCCATCTACGCGCTCCTTTGTTACAATCGCCGGAGGAGGGAAGGAAAAAGAGAGAGAGAGAGAGAGAGAGAGAGAGCTCCTGAATCGCGTGCAACGACCTCGCGAGAGAGTATTAATTTATGTTTGAGACATTTTTAATATTTCCCTTTGGCCGCGCGGAAAAGGATGCCGAGCGTGCGCGCGAGCGAGCGAGCGGAATTCCTATGTCGACGGGAATTTCCCCGTGTTGCTGTTGGCACGTCAAATATTTCCGTGGAAATTCGCGATATTTAAGAAATTGTTTCGTCCTTCCGTCGAGGAGGGGAGGGGGGAGGCAAATCTGATCTTACTTTCGGATTCTCGATGCTTTTATCGCTTGAGAAGTCGAGGGTTAGCGACTGTACGAATAATTTTCTATCGTGTTGGGGAAGAAAAAGTTTCCTCGCCAATATTTTAAGAAATAGTTTGATGCCTTCTATAATTCGCGACGTAGAAATTTCGGGTGTACTTACGCCAGGAGTGTTAGCTTGAGGCCCGAACGGATATCTCGTCCAATCGAGTTTCTCCTCCGTTGTTGTGTCCAAGAGAATAACTGCAATCATAAAGAAAATGCAATGTGAGTGTGTACGTGAAATGTTCTACACACATTGAATAATATTGGATTTCTTTTTCATTTATATTTCTATTCATATTTCATTTCTCCTTAAAATTGTAAGAATTAAAAAATTAATCAAAAAATATATCTAATGTTATGAAAAGCAACGAAAAATAATTTTATCGAATTTTCTAGTTTCTTTTTTATATTTTCACCTCTTCTCATAATACGATTCCTTCGACTGCTTTATTTCATAGTTCATACAACCGCACGACGTACTTATCAGATATAATTACACGCTGCAATAATTACAACAGAGTGCGCGATACGAAATTAAAACTATGGCTGGATTTGTCTGAGGTTATCTTAAGAAGGACAGTAAGTACGTGCCAAAGTCATCGTGAAGAAATCGACCCGTCTAAGGGGGATGGGAGCACGTTCCCTCTCAAAATGGCGGATCGTCGAGAGCGCGAGGGGTGAAAAAATATCGGGAGATGAACGGCGAAATGAAAGAGGAGGAAGCGAAAGAGAGAGAAAGGGAGGCACGTAAGGCCGGAGAAAAGAAACGGGATATAGTTCCGCGGTGTATCGGTGCATTCGCATAGGAATCAAGTTCCGCGCTCTGTCCTGCCTCGTGCACGTCGTGGTAGAGGTGGCGGCGGTGATGTTGGTGGTAGTGGTCGTATCGACCGGGTCTGGGCCGCCACCAACCCTCGATTCTCTCCTCTCTCTCCCTTTCGTCGATCCGTTCTTCCTCTCTTCGCCTCTCATCCACGCGCCCGGCACATTCCTCTCTTCTCCTCCATCCATTCGTCTCTCTCTCTCTCTCTCTCTCTTCTTTTCGCCTCGCATTCTTTGTATCTCCAGCACCTTTTCTCTCTTCAGCCTTGACAACTCGTCCGTCTGTCCGTCCGTTCTTCCTTCCTGCATCTCCTTTTCATCGCTTCTTTCTTATGCTCTTTCTCCGCCTTACTCTCTGCCTTCTTGTTTTCCTTTTCAGTTCGCTTCATTCTCCTTCTCATTTTCCTTCATTTCTTTCGTATCTGCCCAATATCGAACTGCGTCGCCAGCTCTCTAACAATGTCCTCATAGACTTCCTACCTAGATACCGGACCCTCAAATTCCTAGGCTAAAGCGCGACGTGGCCGCAATACACCCATCTATCCACCCACCCATCGTCGACAGTATGGAATCTCAAAGATGAAAACTGCACGCTGTAAAATCCATTTTTATCTTGTACTATTATTGTACTATTTTTTTTATACCCTTCCCCTTCCTTCTATCTACTCGTTCATCGATCTCCCATCCCGCCACCGATCGTTTCGACAGAGGCACTCGCGCGAACTGCAATTATCTCGCTGCATCCAGACCGATGCGGAGCAGAGTGTGAGCGACAGGTCGCGTGCTCAAAACAAAAAAAAAATTGTGCCGAATGGTAACTTTGGGATTAATCTGGGACGAAGTTCTGGTCCAACAGAGACCTAAACAAATTTTCAGGCGATTCCAACCTAAATTGCAAAATAAAACAAAAAACAAAACCTTCTCTCTCTGTTGCTGTAACGATTTTTATTTTCTATCTAAATAAAGGAGTGTATTGCACGGGATGTATATTCTGCGCGAGAGGGGTTTGATAACGGCGAGCATTAGTATCGCGAAGGGATACTCCATTTTAAGCCGTGAGATCAGTTGCCCTCTAAGCCATCCCATTGTGAAGAGTATCTTCGCAGGAGTGGAGTTTGCACTGCAGCGTGCCGATCTAATTCGAGTGCTCTCGTGAAGAACTTCGGATCTATTGGCACGCGCGCAACCTTCGCGCAACCGAATTCACGGACTAAGATCCTGAGAGAGAGTTTGCCCCTCTTCTCTATATCGCCTCTATCGTACCTAATAAACTTCGCGGAGAGCCTTAGCGGATTGACCTCGGGATTATTCCCTAACGCTGACGAGATTTACTCCAAATATCCGACTCAATCCGCGGCTTTATAATCGTGTTTCTTCAAATTTGCATTTCAGACAGCGCCGTTTCCGCCCCCTCTCGTCGAGTCGGATGTTACGTCGAAGAAAGTTGTCTATTTCTTGAAGGCCGAACGCGCACGGAGAAATGTAAGAATGAATTATTAGGGATGACAGACCTCTCTCGGATCGATCTGACGTTACGTGGTGACACGAATGAACTTGAGCCACGTAAGGAACAGATATGTCTCCGTATAGAAACTATCGAGTTTTACTCTGAGCCATTTCCAATCTATACACGTACATGCAGCTATATCGCTGTACCAGCTGTGTAGGGTAATTCCGGGATAAGATAACTATAGTTACTGGCATAGATGACCACGGAAAGAGAGACGCGCTGAAGTACCCCGTAATAATTTCGACGAGCATGACTCCGGCAACAATTTCAATCGACTGTCATGACGTTTTAGTAACTATTCAGCCGTATCACTATAGCGGCTATTAAAGGGACCGCAAACGCTGGCCGTTTTCCTCCTCGTTTAAAAGGCTATAAAGGTCGCATTTCCTTTTATCCACGATCAATTGTAACGGTCGATTTGAAGTCAATTTTATGTTACTAAAAATTGAATATAAAATTTTATTTGGAAAGAGAGAGAGAGAGAGAGAGAGAGAGAGAGAAAGCGAACAAAATAAATCTCTTGTTAAAAAGTACATAAAATGAATACAAAAGAATTTAGAACGCTCTATCTCTACATTTATACATGCCATATTTTCCTTCACTATGACTTTTGACTATTATGACACACGCTTTTTAATACCTCTTGATTTATATATTTTGACACTTAGCCTTCGAGGGTTCATTTTAGGGCTAGCATAAATTTCAGAACTTTGTCCAGGACTGATGTTACCTCGCCACAAGTGCGTAACATTACGAGGGGAAAGATATAACGGTGCGGTTTAAGGATTCTATGCTGATGGTCGGCCGCATCTACGATGCGCGATCATCGACGCGAAAAGAGAAAGTGCAGCCGCCCGCCCCGGTGCGAGAGATGATGGGACGGCGGCGGCCGTCACATGCCGGTGCAGCCGTTACGTATCGTGCGTGCGACACGTGCATTATGCGCCTTCGCCCGTCGGACACGTGTCACATGACGCGAGCCACTCGCGGCGTGCGTCGTCGTGGAATGCCGAGAAGAGGAGCGGCGGGAATGAGAGAGGGGAAACGAACGAACAAAAAAATTACGGACGCTCCCTCTTTCTCTCTCGTGACTTGGGTCATAACCGAGGAAAATGCGATTACGTATGTTCGGTAAAAGCTCGTGGCGTACGTAAAACGTACAGAAAGAAAAGTACAGTGTCGCGCGCGACGCCGATAATCTCGCGGGCGATGCCAGCGCGATGTAGCACCGTTATTTTGCAGGATGTTTTGCGGTCGCTGGACGTTTAAGTCTATCTCGTACATGGAATAACTTTCCATTATAATAAAAAAAAATTTCAAAAACATGTAGCGCTTAAGAAAGTGATCGTTCAACACGCTTTCAGTAGACGTTGAAATTGAAATTATTAAAATTTAAGAATCACTCTCCTAGACATCCGCGCAATTTATTTCTGGAGACCTTTCTCGCCGCGATGCACAGTTATTCCTTTCGAGAGTAAAAAGAGGTCTGACGGTAGCTATACAATGCATGAGATGCAAAGTGAAAGAGCACGCTCCGATTTTCTCGGCTGACATCCGAGAAAACAAGCTCATCCTGAAAGAGCGTTCCCCTTCGCCCGAATTCAACGCGATCGTGGATCGACAGCGACAAGACAATCATACAAGGCTCCGAGACAACTTCACCAGCTGTGGGAGGAAAGGCAGAGGAGGCAGCGGAGGGCAGACGGGAGGTGAAAGGACACGGCGCGGGGGCCCCTGTCTCTCGAATTACTATTCCCGCGTGTGTTTACCGACGAGCGGAAACGACTTAACGGGCAGGTCGGTCGTCGTGAAAACGACGATACATCCTTCCTGCCTTTTGCTCCATCCTGTTCTCGCGAACATTCTGATTCGCCGTCGCTCCGCGCATTCTCACCACAGGGTGTCCCAAAAGAGGGACAGCTTGACAATTATAGGGTTTTACTGTGAAATATTAAACTCGATGAAAATTTGAGACGACACGCTATGATTTTTAAATTCTTTAACACGAGATATATATCTTAAGAGGTAACGACTTTTCATAAAAATTTTGTTACTTATTATTCTGCAGGAAATCCCTGAAAAGGGGGGATGAGAAGTGAAATTTTACAAACTCACTTGTTTCACTTGCTTTCGTTCGATGGAACGAAAGCTTCTTACTGTTCAATATGCTAAGTAACTTTTAATTAGACGGAATTTTCAGCGTAGGGCGTCTAAAACTACATTTTGAGGCGGCCTGTATGCACGCTCGTAACATGCATAGATCTCTCCTTTTGCGAGTGTGCGTGCAATACTAGGTGTGTGTGTGTGTGTGTGTGTGCGTATATCTGTGTGTGTGTGCGTGTGTAACCGGTGTACAACGTGGTCCCGCGAGAGGTACCGAATTTAAATTTCAAATTTGGAGCGTGTCGCAGGGTGTGACGGTATGCATAGCGTTGCCCGCCGGCTCTAACTCACTCCACCGATGGTGCGTCTTCGACCCTTCTGCCCCCCGCCCCCCCTTTCCCTCTTCACCCCCCTCGGCCCTTGCCCTCGCCGTTCTCTGTGCGCAGTCCTCTTCCCCCTCCCCACCCCCTTTTCACCGAATCCACCCAGTACGTATCCAGCGGTTCCTGTGATATTCCGTCCATTTATCTATCTATCTCGATTTTTCATATTATTCAAACGAGAGAGGAATCTGATCTTATCGATCGGCGAAAGGAGAGTCCCCCGTTTATAAACGTTTCTCGACTAAAGTGGTATAACACGGTATCCGACATACGCTGTACTTTCCCTCGTGATGCACATGTTTTTGAGTCGATTTGGGGTCGACCTCGTTTTAACGCAAATTTGTTTCGATACTATACTACCGAAGTATAAGCCGCTTCGTCGCGGTACAC